AGCATTAGTGAGGTCAGGCACTGATGTTGGGCGATTAGGCCTAGCGCACAGTCGGCGTTCCTATTCATCCCAAAGGTGTTCGATGGGGTTGAGGTCAGGGCTCTGTGCAGGCCAGTCAAGTTCTTCCACACCAATCTCGACAAACCATTTCTGTATGGACCTTGCCTTCCCCAAACAGTTGCCACAAAGTTGGAAGCACAGAATAGTCAATAATGTCATTTTATGCTGTAGCATTACATTTCCCTTCACTGGAACTAAGGGGCCTAGCCCTAACGATGAAAACAGCCCCAGAACATTATTCCTCCTGCACCAAACTTTACATTTGGCACTATACATTAGGGCGGGTAGCGTTCTCCTGGCATCCGCCAAACCCAGATTCATCCGTCAGACTGCCAGATGGTGAAGCGTGATTCATCACTCCAGAGAACATGTTTCCACTGCTCCAGAGTCCAATGGCGGCAGGTTTTACATCACTCCAGCCGACGCTTGCCATTGAACATGGCGAACTTAGGCTTGTGTGCGGCTGCTCGGCCCTGGAAACCCATTTCATGAAGCTCCCGACGAACAGTTATTTTGCTGATGTTGCTTCCAGAGACAGTTTGGAACTAGGTAGTGAGTGTTGCAACCGAGGACAGATGTTCTGTGAGCTTGTGTAGCCTACCACTTTGCGGCTGAGCCGTTGTTGCTCTTAGACGTTTCCGCTTCACAATAACAGCACTTCCATTTGATTGTGGCAGCTCTAGCAGGGCAGACATTTGACACACTGACTTGTTGAAAAGGTGGCATCCTATGACAGTGCCACGATGAAAGTAACTGCGTTCTTCAGTAAGGCCATTATACTGCCAATGTTTGTCTATGGAGATTGCATGGCTGTGTGCCCGATATTATACACCTGTCAGCAACAATTGTGGCTGAAATAGCCGAATCCACTAATTTGAATGGGTGTCTACATACTTTGTATATACAGTGAGGGAAAAAAGTATTTGATCCCCTGCTGATTTTGTATGTTTGCCCAATGACAAAACATGATCAGTCAAAAATTTTAATGGTTGGTTTATTTGAACAGTGAGAGACAGAATGCTGCCTATGACCCCAAGAACACCATCCTCACCGTCAAACATGGAGGTGGAAACATTATGCTTTGGAGGTGTTTTTCTGCTAAGGGGACAGGACAACTTCACCGCATCAAAGGGACGATGGACGGGGCCATGTACCGTCAAATCTTGGGTGAGAACCTCCTTCCCTCAGCCAGGTTATTGAAAATGGGTCGTGGATGGGTATTCCAGCATGACAATGACCCAAAACACACGGCCAAGGCAACAAAGGAGTGGCTCAAGAAGAAGCACATTAAGGTCCTGGAGTGGCCTAGCCAGTCTCCAGACCTTAATCCCATAGAACATTTGTGAAGGGAGCTGAAGATTCGAGTTGCCAAACATCAGCCTCGAAACCTTAATGACTTGGAGAAGATCTGCACAGAGGAGTGGGACAAAATCCCTCCTGAGATGTGAGTAAACCTGGTGGCCAACTACAAGAAACGTCTGACCTCTGTGATTGCCAACAAGGGTTTTGCCACCAAGTACTAAGTCATGTTTTGCAGAGGGGTCAAATACTTATTTCCCTCATTAAAATGCAAATCAATTTATAACATTTTCGACATGCGTTTTTCTGGATTTTTTGTTTGTTATTCTTTCTCTCACTGTTCAAATAAACCTACCATTAAAATTATAGACTGATCATGTCTTTGTCAGTGGGCAAACTTACAAAATCAGCAGGGGATCAAATACTTTTTTCCCTCAATGTATAGTGTACTTGTGTTGCTTCTAACACAGAAATAGATTAACATCCAACAGAAATTCCCATCATGATGGATAAATGTACTACTCTAATTTTTTTATCTTGCCATTACTACAAATTTGTGTTGACTGATCAACAGAGCCAAGTTTATTATCAGTGTTCCCAAAAATCCTCAAGTACCCATCCACATGTAAAATGTAGCCAGGGGAGTGCCAGGGGTGTGCCAGGGGAGTGCCAGGGGAGTGCCAGGGGAGTGCTCAGCAAAATAAGTACTTTGATAAATGTATCTGTAGACAGGAAATGTAATGGACTTAGTGTAGATCAGCTGTTGTTATTTAAAACCATCCCCCCATCACCTCTCTCTAAATCCATATGGTTTGCATTAATATAAATAGTAATGTAAGAAAAAACAATATCACTTTATTTGAAGCGCCAATTTATTTTTAGATACATTTAGCATATGAAAATGTTGTGTATTATACATCAATAAGGACCGAGGGGGTGTGGTATATTGGTCATATACCACACCCCACCAAAGTGCATTATTGCCCCTTTAGCTCAGTTGGTAGAACATGGCGCTTGCAACGCCAGGGTTATGGGTTCGTTTCCCACTGGGGGCCAGTATGAATATGTATGCACTCACTAACTGTAAGTCGCTCTGGAGAAGAGCGTCTGCTAAATGACTATAATGTTGCATAATCACCTTTGGATTTGAAAAACATGGAAATTAAACACAAAGACAAAGTCAGAAAAAAGAAGGAAATTCACATGTAGACAGTTTGCTTAGGATTCAAACCTTCTCGAACAGCCTAAAACAGAGATATTCCCACAATAATGTGATCTATGCTGTATATTAGGAACTGGGAGCGAAGGCAACACTGTATATGAAGAACTGGGAGCGAAGGCAACACTAACTCTGACTGCTATGGTTCTCAATCTTTTACACTACTGCCATCTCTTGGTAAGTGGAGACATGACATTAGGAAGAGGAAATTGTTAATTGATAATATTCAGACTGGAACAGAAAGAGTGTTACAAGAGTTTGATGTTGATATCAATACCATATGATAATGAGTACATTACCAATTTATTTGAGAAAAAAAATCAAATCTATTTCAGCATAATCCTAATGAAACAACAATTTTAGCACTAGTTATTGCCTATTGTAACAAGCAACAGTTACGAGCAACAGCAAATAACTATGTCACACATAAATCACACTATGCTGACAGAAACATAATTGTAGAAACAATGGCAACAAAATGTAAGATGTAAATATAATTAATCTGATTGCTGGATTATTAGCATTGAATTAGTCAATTTCATTCCCATCCTAAGCTTTTCACATCAGAGTAGACAATATTTCCCCCCATCGCATCGCTCTTGGTCTTGGCTGGAGTTGTGTTTTGAGGGAAAGACAGAGCAGAGTACTGTAGCATGTCCTCACCGTTTCCCTGAGAAGGAAAATAACACATTACTGAGACAAACAACCGCAAGGCACTACAGAGGGTAGTGCGTACGGCCCAGTACATCCCTGGGGCCAAGCTTCCTGCCATCCAGGACCTCTATACCAGGCGGTGTCAGAGGAAGGCCCTCAAAATTGTCAAAGACTCCAGCCACCCTAGTCATAGACTGTTCTCTCTGCTACCGCACGGCAAGCGGTACCGGAGTGCCAAGTCTAGATCCAAAAGACTTCTCAACAGCTTCTACCCCCAAGCCATAAGACTCCTGAACAGCTAATCATGGCTACCCGGACTATTTGCACTGCCCCCCCACCTCATCTTTTTACGCTGCTGCTACTCTGTTAATTATTTATGCATAGTCACTTTAACTCTACCAACATGTACATATTACTTCAACTACCTCAACTAGCCGGTGCCCCCGCACATTGACTCTGCACCGGTACCCCCCTGTATATATAGCCTCCCTACTGTTATTTAATTTTACTTCTGCTCTTTTTTTCTCAACACTTTTTTGTTGTTGTTTTATTGTACTTTTTTTATTAAAAATAAATGCACTGTTGGTTAAGGGCTGTAAGTAAGCATTTCACTGTAATGTCTGCACCTGTTGTATTCGGCGCATGTGGCCAATAAAATTAGATTTGATTTGATTTGATTTGAACATCTACGTTAAATCTAAGATTTCTCTGATTTATACTTTATCCTGCACATGATTGATTATTGAATATTTCTGATTAATGATCCATACTTATTCCTTGGTCTTAGCTACTTTAAAAAAAATTATTTTTTTTTTTTGGGGGGGGGAATGGATCAGCTTAATATTGCAGATAGATTGTATCTTCTATCAATGTAATTGTCTGCATCACTTCCAATCCCCCATGTTTTTTTATATATATATATATATATACTCCCCTTTATTACTTTTCAACCCCACGATCATTTCCCTACTTGGAGTAAATTAGTGAACAACAATGCCCAGGCCTCTACTTCCGGTCTATACTTACTATCTACACCTTATGGACAGAGTTAATTTTACAATAATTTTATTATATATATATATATATATATATATATATTTATTTTTATTTTTTTTAATTTAAAAAATAAATAAAAAAATTGCTCCTGAACTTCTTCTACTCTCAACCTCTCCGATCATTTTCATGATGTCCATCCGGTTTGCTTCTATATGCCATATCTTTCTAACTGTGCTCTTTCCCAAAAGCTCAGAACATACAACCTATATACTTATTATGGACACAGTATGCTTACATTATTAGCTATCTTTGTTATTATTTGTTGTTATTTGTTTTATTTTCCCATCCTTCAACTCTATTCAATACCTCCCATCTATATCTTAACACCATCCATATAGGATTTCTATTTGCCATATATATTTCAACCGTACTGTGATGTTTTACAAAAGTTCTGAACCTTTCTATTCTCATTGCTTCTACAGATTGTGAATTTAAAATAAACATTTTTGCTAAAAGTATTATTATATTATTGATTGATTGACTATGACTTTTCAGATCACCCAGTAATGCTATCTGCAAGGTTAGCTCCAGGTAAATATAGCAATCCTTTAGCCATTCCTGGACCTGTGTCCAAAAACAAGCTACAAATGGACAGAACCAAAACAAATGATCTTGGTCTTAGCTACTGCCAAAATGTAATAATGTCTGTTGAATAGTTGTGATGAGTGCATGGCCAATAGTTAATTACAATTCAGATAAAATAATTTCATACCTGATCACTTTGCTGATCGGAACTGGGAACCTCACCATCAGATTGAAGTGGGATTGTGCCTGCTTCAGTAAGAATACACCAAATTACTACCTTTGATCAGTTCATTACCATTTATGATCAAACAAGCAAGTATTTGTCTTAATTAAGGCAGGGTGAACAAAACATACAGAAAATAACTACAGAAGTATGCAGTTTAATCATATGACAAATTACTGGAAACACAATATATATATTACCCATGGGGATGTCCAAATACTTACAGCCATGAATACGATTATTTAAAAGCAAACTAAAATCTAAAACACATATACAAATAAACCAAATGCTTCCAAGATAAAATCATCATAATCACAATTGACTTACCATTACAACAGTCACAGATCTTTTTATTCTTCCTTGTGTATATGAGGTATATGATCAGAACAATACACATTAACAGTGCTTCCCCGAGGATGAATGTTACTGGAATCAGCACATTCATTCTGGGGGTTTCTGTTGACATGGAAGACAAGAAAGCAATCAGAAGTAAATTCCCTTTTCATATGGAATGCATAATCAGAAATACTGAAAATCGAGAATTCTTCACAATAATGTCATAATGTAAATCAACAGTATATATCAGTTACCCTTCATAACCTACCAATATCCAATTTTGTTACGTCGCCAAATAGGATCTTCTCACATGTGGCCACAGCACAGTAGTAAGTCCCAGCATCAGAGAGACTGAGGTTGTTCTTGGAGAGGCTGTAGACACAGCTCTTTGTAGGAGAGGGAGTCTCAGGGCTCTTCTTACACTCATCACTCCTGTTCCCAGGGGTGTAAATGACTCCTGGATGGGATTCACTTGATCCGGCTCTGAACCAGTACACACTGTGTTCTCCTGTACAGGTCTCAGAGAGTACTGTACACTGCAGAGTCACAGAGTCTCCTGGATGTTGCTCCACAGTCTTGGAATTGGACTGTGAGCCTACCAAAGACAATCGTTTTTCATTTATTCAAAATGTAACAGTATTACAACCTAATCTCTTCCTATCAACTATGTGTTTTATGACATGGGGAAAAAGCAACAAAGATACTTTTAAAAAGGACAAAAGTACAACCGCATTAGTTTGAATTATTGCTATTTTATACAACGGGTGGGTGTAATCCTGAAGGCTGATTGGTTAAAACCGCATTCCAGCCGGTGTCTATTCCACAAGTTAGCACCGGCTAAATCTTGTATCATTTGATTTACACAACATGCCTACCATTTTCAAGATGCAAAATATGTTTTATTGTGAAACAAACAAGAAATAAGACAAAACATTGGATTGAGGTCTGGGCTTTGACTAGGCCATTCCAAAACATTTAAATGTTTCCCCTTAAACCACTCGAGTGTTGCTTTAGCAGTATGCTTAGGGTCATTGTCCTGCTGGAAGGTGAACCTCTGTCCCAGTCTCAAATCTCTGGAAGACTGAAACAGGTTTTCTCAAGAATTTCCCTGTATTTAGCATCATCCATCATTCCTTCAATTCTGACCAGTTTCCCAGTTCCTGCCGATAAAAAACAGCCCCACAGCATGATGCTGCCACCACTGTGCTTCAACGTGGGGATGGTGTTCACGGGGTGATGAGAGGTGTTCTGTTTGCACCAGACATAGTGTTTTCCTTGATGGCCAAAAAGCTCAATTTTAGTCTCATCTGACCAGAGTACCTTCTTCCATATGTTTGGGGAGTTTCCCACATTCCTTTTGGCGAACACCAAACGTGTTGGTTTGTTTTTTTCTTTAAGCAATGGCTTTTTTTCTGGCCACTCTTCCATAAAGCCCAGCTCTGTGGAGTGCACGGCTTAAAGTGGTCCTATTGATAGATAAACCAGTCTCCATTGTGGAGCTTTGCAGCTCCTTCAGGGTTATCTTTGGTCTCTTTGGTCTCTTTGTCTCTGATTAATGCCCTCCTTGCCTGGTCCGTGAGTTTTGGTGGGCAGCCCTCTCTTGGCAGGTTTGTTGTGGTGCCATATTCTTTCAATTTTTTAATAATGGATTTAATGGTGCTCCGTGGGATGTTCAAAGTTTCTGATCTTTTTTTATAACCAAACCCTGATCTGTACTTCTCCACAACTTTGTCCCTGACCTGTTTGGAGAGCTCCGTGATCTTCATGGTGCCGCTTGATTGGTGGTGCCCCTTGCTTAGTGGTGTTGCAGAGTCTGGGGCCTTTCAGAACAGGTGTATGTATACTGAGATCATGTGACACTTAGATTGCACACAGGTGGACTTTATTTAACAAATTACAGTGGGGAGAACAAGTATTTGATACACTGCCGATTTTGCAGGTTTTCCTACTTACAAAGCATGTAGAGGTCTGTAATTTTTATCATAGGTACACTTCAACTGTGAGAGACGGAATCTAAAAACAAAAATCCAGAAAATGACATTGTAAGATTTTTAAGTAATTAATTTGCATTTTATTGCATGACATAAGTATTTGATACATCAGAAAAGCAGAACTTAATATTTGGTACAGAAACCTTTGTTTGCAATTACAGAGATCATATGTTTCCTGTAGGTCTTGACCAGGTTTGCACACACTGCAGCAGGGATTTTGGCCCACTCCTCCATACAGACCTTCTCCAGATACTTCAGGTTTCGGGGCTGTCGCTGGGCAATACGGACTTTCAGCTCCCTCCAAAGAAGTTCTATTGGCTTCAGGTCTGGAGACTGGCTAGGCCACTCCAGGACCTTGAGATGCTTCTTACGGAGCCACTCATTAGTTGCCCTGGCTGTGTGTTTCGGGTCGTTGTCATGCTGGAAGACCCAGCCACGACCCATCTTCAATGCTCTTACTGAGGGAAGGAGGTTGTTGGCCAAGATCTCGTGATACATGGCCCCATCCATCCTCCTCTCAATACGGTGCAGTCGTCCTGTCCCCTTTGCAGAAAAACATCCCCAAAGAATGATGTTTCCACCTCCATGCTTCACGGTTGGGATGGTGTTCTTGGGGTTGTACTCATCCTTCTTCTTCCTCCAAACACGGTGAGTGGAGTTTAGACCAAAAAGCTCTATTTTTGTCTCATCAGACCACATGACCTTCTCCCATTCCTCCTCTGGATCATCCAGATGGTCATTGGCAAACTTCAGACGGGCCTGGACCTGCGCTGGCTTGAGCAGGGGGACCTTGCCTGCGCTGCAGGATTTTAATCCATGACGGTGTAGTGTGTTACTAATGGTTTTCTTTGAGACTGTGGTCCCAGCTCTCTTCAGGTCATTGACCAGGTCCTGCCGTGTAGTTCTGGGCTGATCCCTCACCTTCCTCATGATCATTGATGCCCCACAAGGTGAGATCTTGCATGGAGCCCCAGACCGAGAGTGATTGACCGTCATCTTGAACTTCTTCCATTTTCTAATAATTGCACCAACAGTTGTTGCCTTCTCACCAAGCTGCTTGCCTATTGTCCTGTAGCCCATCCCAGCCTTGTGCAGGTCTACAATTTTATCCCTGATGTCCTTACACAGCTCTCTGGTCTTGGCCATTGTGGAGAGGTTGGAGTCTGTTTGATTGAGTGTGTGGACAGGTGTCTTTTATACAGGTAACGAGTTCAAACAGGTGCAGTTAATACAGGTAATGAATGGAAAACATGAGGGCTTCTTAAAGAAAAACTAACAGGTCTGTGAGAGCCGGAATTCTTACTGGTTGGTAGGTGATCAAAAACGTATGTCATGCAATAAAATGCAAAATAACTACTTAAAAATCATACAATGTGATTTTCTGGATTTTTGATTTAGATTCCGTCTCTCACAGTTGAAGTGTACCTATGATAAAAATTACAGACCTCTACATGCTTTGTAAGTAGGAACACATGCAAAATCGGCAGTGTATCAAATACTTGTTCTCCCCACTGTATGTGACTTCTGAAGGTAATTGGTTCCACCAGATCTTATTTAGGGGCTTCATAGCTAAGTGGGTGAATACATATGTACGCATCACTTTTCCGCCATTTGTTTTTTAGAGTTTTTTGAAACGAGTAATTTTTTTCATTTCACTTCACCAATTTGTATGTCCATTACATGAAATCCAAATAAAAATCGATTTAAATTACAGGTTGTAATGCTATAAAATAGGAAAAATGCCAAGGGGGATGAATACTTTTGCAAGTCAATGTATGATGTTAAAATACCTATTTACTCTTTTCCATCTGACTGCGCAATCCACTGTCTCATCATCCCAGCCAAGCAATTTATGAACCTGATCTCCACTATAAAAGGCATTTAGACATTATCTCACATTGTATACATCTTAATGTCTGTCTTCATCTCGGGCCAAACAACACCCGTGCCAATATATCCTCCAAACACCGGCTTCTCAGGCATTATCACTTAAATAGACAGCACTGAAGAGTCTTACTGCGTGCTTAAGAATACTTAAAGAACACAAGTTGAAGTCATACAATCAAATTAGGTAACTAGCGGTTCTTAACTAGTGAAAGGAGAATTCACAATTACCGTGGACGTTAACAAGTGATGCATTTCCAACAGTGGTGTAAAGTACTTAAGTAAAAATAGTTGGGGGTATCTATACTTTACTTTACTATTTATATTTTTGACAAATTTTACTTTTACTTCACTACATTCCTAAAGAAAATGATGTACTTTTTACTCCGTAAATTTTCCCTGACACACAAAAGTACTCTTTACATTTTGAATGCTTAGCTGGACAAGGAAATTGGCTAATTCACACACTTATCAAGAGAACATCCCTGGTCATCTCTACTGCCTCTGGTCTAGCACAAGCTTTGTTTGTAAATGATGTCTGACTGTTGGAGCGTGGCCCTGGCTATCCGTAAATTTAAAAAACTAGAAAATGGTGCCATCTGGTTTACTTAATATAAGAAATTTGAAATTATTTTACTTTTACTTTTGATACTGAAGTGTATTTTAGCAATTACATTTACTTTTGATCCTTAAGTATATTTAAAACCAAATAGTTGTAGACTTTTACTCAAGTAGCATTTTACTGGGTGACTTTTACTTGAGTCATTTTTTATTAAGGTATCTTTACATTTACTCAAGTATGACAATTGGGTTCTTTTTCCACCACTGATTTCCAAATGTCACTTTATCTGTGTACATGGCTGCACAATTCTATATAGCTGAATCAATTATCTTTTCCTCTGAAATGAGCAAGTTGAACAATTTTCACTCATGTATTACACTGATATGCTTAGGATCTGTTAACCCCTCCTTGTATGTCACATTACTTGAACATGAATTGTATATTCCAATGACATGTTTAAACCAGAAGATGGATAGCAACTTTTCAGTTGGTTGGACACATTCAAGGGTCAAATGCTCCACAAGCTTAACGGTCACTGTTTGGAGATGGTCAGCGACAGAATATGTAGAAGAAACTTTAAAAAATACTACACATGTTCAACTAAACTGAAAATGGATTAGTTATTTATTAACCCACCAATAATGAACATGATCAATGATAATGAAGAATTGAGACATACTTACAGACTGTATTGACAAAGAGGAGAAATACACAGGGTTGGATCATCTTTACAGCTTCTGACTACTAAAGAAACCAATACACAGGACTGGGTCACCTCTGCAGCTTCAGACTAGTAAAGAAACCCCCATGAGAATAGTTTTGCTGTACTAAGGAGAAGTGGGCCAAACGTATTCGCCGTTTTGATTGGTTGTCTCAGGTTAGATGGTCTGTGAAAGACCAACGTCACATGTAAGACAGATTGCTACATGGGGCTCAAAATGTTTTGCAAGTTGGTTGATATGAAGCAAACACATTTCTGTCATATGTTTGGACCTTTTATAGGCCCAGTTTATGGTTAGTGAAGAGAACAATCCATGAAAAACTTAAAACATGACAGAGAAGGAGCAATGCAGAGCTACAATTGATGCTAGGTACAGAACATTTTAGTCAGTCTTATTTTGTGAGCAAACCTCTATGCCAGCTATTTAATTTCATTAGCAACTACAGTATGTCACATTCACATAGTCATTATTGTCACTAACGTCTAACAACTAAAGGACCATCCCATGACTAACATTAATAGTTCTAGGGTTCACTGCAGGTTCAATATTTTCTATTTAGATTCAGGAGACTTTTTGTCATCTTGTCCGAGCTGTTTTTTTTTGTAGTATGAATATACAATGTGGTTGTGTGTTTAGAGATGGAGTCAGATATGTGGAGGGAAGGTTTACCAGACCACAGACAGCAGCTATAAAGGGAGACACCCTAACTTCAACGTTCAGATAAATGTGTGCAACTTCACACAACCATTGATGTTGACATTTTGCAGTTAAAATCTTGTTTTGCTTCTCAGAAGAAACTGAAACCATTTTGCGATCAGGGTAACACATATTTTAGAAATAAATTTTTTAATTTAACTGAAGAGCCTGTGTGAAATAAATGTTTTAAACAGCAAAATACATATCTTAAAATAGCTGCACTGACTGTTGTGTTCACAGGTAGATTAAAAGGTAATTAAACATCTACACAGGATCTAATATGCAGTGCATTTGGAAAGTATTCAGACCCCTTGACGTTATGTGTTACGTTACAGCCTTATTCTAAAATTGATTAAATAAATAAAAATCCTCATCAATCTACACACAATGCCCCATAATGACAAAGCAAAGATAGGTTTTTTAGACATTTTTGCAAATGTATACAAAATAAAGAACAGAAATATATTATTCACACAAGTATTCAGACCCTTTGCTATGAGACTCGAAATTGAGCTCAGGTGCATCCTCTTTCCATTGATCATCCTTGAGATGTTTCTACAACTTGATTGGAGTCCAGCTGTGGTAAATTAAATTGATTGGACATGATTTGGAAAGGCATACACCTGTCTATATAAGGTCCCACAGTTGACAGAGCAAAACCAAGCCATGAGGTCGAAGTAATTGTCCGTAGAGCTCCGAGACAGGTTGTGTCGAGGCACAAATCTAGGGAAGGGTACCCAAAAAATTCTGCAGCTTTGAAGGTCCCCAAGAACACAGTGGGGTCCATCATTTTTAAATGGAAGAAGTTTGGAACCACCAAGACTCTTCGAAGAGCTGGCCACCCGGCCAAACTGAGCAATCGGGGGAGAAGGGCCTTGGTCATGGAGGTAACCAAGAACCCGATGGTCATTCTGACAGAGCTCTAGAGTTCCTCTGTGGAGATGGGAGAACCTACCAGAAGGACAATCATCTCTGCAACACTCCACCAATCATGCCTTTATGGTAGAATGACCAGACGGAAGCCAATCCTCAGTAAAAGGCACATGAGAGCCCGCTTGGAGTTTGCCAAAAGGCACCTAAAGGACTCTCAGATCATGAGAAACAAGATTCTTTGGTTTGATGAAACCAAGATTGAACTCTTTGGCCTGAATGTCACGTCACGTCTGGAGGAAACCTGGCACCATCCCTACGGTGAAGCATTGTGGTTGCAGCATCATGCTGTTAGGATGTTTTTAGCGGAAGGGACTGGGAGACTAGTCAGGTTCGAGGGAAAGATGAACGGAGCAAAGTACAGAGAGATCCTTGAGGAAAACCTGCTCCAGAGCGCTCAGGACCTCAGACTGGGGCGAAGGTTCACCTTCCAACAGGCCAACGACCGTAAGCACACAGCCAAGACAACGCAGGAGTGGCTTCGGGACATGTCTCTGAATGTCATTGAATGTCTCAGCAGAGCTCAGACTTGAACCCCATCCAAGCTGACAGAGCATGAGAGGATCTGCAGAGAAGAATGGGAGAAACTCCCCAAATACAGTTTTGCCAAGCTTGTAGCGTCATACCCAAGATGATTCGAGGCTGTAATCACTGCCAAAGGTGCTTCAACAAAGTACTGAGTAAAGGGTCTGAATACTTATGTAAATGTAATATTATTTTTGTGATACTATTTTTGCTTTGTCTTTATGGGTATTGATGAGGGGAAAAATAGTTTAATCCATTTTAGAATAAGGCAGTAACGTAACAAAATGTGGAAAAAGTCAAGGGGTCTGAATGCTGGCATTGCTGCACATTCTGGGTCAGAAGTCGTCAGTGACTTTGTGTGCATTAAAGCCAACACTCCTGCACATTTCCAGTTCTCGCCAAGTCAATTGCAAAAAGTCTGAAACAGAATCTTTTTGGTCTTAATTTAAGTCGTTTAAAGCATGATAAGCAGTGTAAAATCTGATTTATTCTAGATAGTGGTATTTTGCTCTCTGACACCCAAGATCAAGTGACACAGTTAATCTCTGTGCACATTAGCACCAACGTTAATAATAGTCAAATTTGAATATAGCCTATATTGACCACACCAAACTCTTACAACACCACTGATTACATGTTGTATTTGGATTATCTTTTTTACGTTGTAAGTGTGTTTTTAGCACTGCTTTGGTTAATTTTTGGATGATTAATAGATTTCTCAAGCTACTGGTTAATAAGGTGAATTAAAATTAAAAAATTCTCCTCAACAGTTTATCCAGAAGTCAGCTATTAAAAAGCAGAAATAAAATAGCTTTTGTCAATTTAGATTAGCTTTTGGTACAGTTGGTTAAGTAGTAAGTTAGGTTAAAAACTAAGAAGATAATTGTAAATATGGACTTTCTTGTAACATGACGACCAAAAGTAGCAAGAGTTTTTTTGCATGAGCAGTAAGGAAGGAAAAGCTGTAAAATTATCAAGGACAGAGTTGAGATGAGGTATGGTAGGCCACCACACCAAACCTCTATAAACAACAACACAAATCTACATGTAAATAATTGGATTTCTCGGTGTAGGGTGAAGTGTGAAATGTTGTAAATTTGGATGATAACATTTTACATTTTAGTCATTTACCAGACGCTCTTATCCAGAGCGACGTTACAGTCATAACAATGTTGTCTTATGCTTTTGACTTAAGTTTATAAAAATAAGAAATTGTAAAATATTTTAAGTGCAAGAGTTTTTTGTTGTTGAGGAAATTAATTTCAAACTATTTCGGAGGAAAACCTTTTTCAATCAAGCATAAAGCTAATTGTAACGTGGAAGTTCAGTTTGCAGTAAGGTAGGCCTAACACAGTTGTACTTTTGTTCGGAATTAATCCATGTTTGTTTACTGTCCAGTTTAAATTGCCAGTAAAGAGCATTCAGCCTATAAATAGTAGCAAAGTAGTAGTAGTAGTAGTAGTAGTAGTAGTAGTAGTAGTAGTAGTAGTAGCAGTAGTAGTAGTAGTAGTAGTAGTAGTAGTAGTAGTAGTAGTAGTAGTAGTAGTAGTAGTAGTAGTAGTAGTAGCAGTAGTAGTAGCAGTAGTAGCAGTAGTAGCAGTAGTAGTAGCAGCAGTAGTAGTAGTAGCAGTAGCAGTAGTAGTAGTAGCAGTAGTAGCAGTAGT